GAATGCCAGAGACGGGGATTATCAGAGTCATGAAGACAGCAGGGCAGGGCCAGGCCTGTGCCCTTTGGCCAAGACTCAGCAGGGAGAAGGGTCCCCTCTGCTCCCAGGGAAGTTATGGGGACTTTCTGTCTGTTGGTGCCAGCATAGTTGACTTCCTCACTACTTTAAAACATAAACATGTTTTGCTTCATTTAATCGAAACCTTACAGCAGATGTTTTATGATCATTACGCCGATGGGGTGGGGGGAGAAGGATGCTGGAAACTGCCAGCTTTTATGGGAGAGTTTTATTAACTTGGCGGTTTACTGCTCAGCTAGGGAATGAAGGCATCAGCCAAGACACAGGGAATCCAGTCTAAATGACTCCCATATCCTAGATGTAGAGTTCAGGATGTGCCAGTGTGGGTAGGGCTGGGGCTGGGGTCTTCAAACAGCCAGTCCTCATCCTTGTCCTTGCTCTGCCCGCACCCCTGGGGCTGTCCTTCAGTTATCTTCCACTTCTTCCTTCGCTTCCAGTGTCAGTACTCACCTCTGGGGCTGAGAGGACCATCAAGGACCTTGAAGCAGTTGTGCCCACACTGTCTGTAGGGCCAGGACCCCCATGCCTCAGTTCACCTGCCCGGAGAGCCGGAACAGAGCCCAGGCATAAGGCCAAGAGAGTGTATGTACAGAGAGGGACTCGACCTGAACACAGCAGCATGAGGATATGTAGGGGGTCTCCTCCCCATCTCACCTCCCTGGGATCATGCTGTGCGAGCAGGACAGAGTCCATCCCCACAGAGCACCTTCTCTGCCCATGCCATGAGCTTTCCTGGCACGTCCCTCACCACTGTTTCAGCCAAAAGCATTTTGCTCTCCTGCTGGGAACTGTTAACAATAAAATTGATGCAAACACTACTGTGAGCAGCTCTGGTACCCGCTCAATGAGCTCCTCAGGGACAGACCTCCCATGTAAGCACAGCTCTGCATCTGTCAGCTCCATAGGGGGGATGCTCTGCTGCGGCTCCCCCTCAGCTCCCGATGAGCCCTATGGATGTGTTATAAGCAGGGATGCAGGTGGGGAAGGGGCTCAGCTACATCCCTTGTGGCAGAGCCCCATGAGTGCCCCTTTCCACGCGTGGCATCTGTCAGGAGGGGAAGCCCATTGGCAGTCACGTATGGAGGCGATGCTTCCCTGCGCCATGCATGCTCCAGGAAACTGCAGCATCCCTGCTCCAAGAAGAGCTGTTCCTCAGAGGCCTGGTGCAGGCAAAGCCCCTGCAGTTGTAGGAAGCAGCCACCTGCATCCAAGCAGATGCCCCGGTGTTGTGCTGGTGCGGCAGCAGCTCGGCCACTCACATGCACAGGCACCCTGGGAAAAGCCAGCGGAGAAATAAAGAGAAACTTTCCATTCCAGTGCACCCAAAAGGACACTGTAATCTTCCTTCCCTGTGTCATCCTGCTTGCCTAGTTATGTGGCGTTAAATTAGGGCTCTGGTTCAGTTACGGCTCATTACAGGCTTGTGTGTGGCTTTGTTGCAGCTTGCTCAGACGCACCAAAGGAGCAGAGTCAGTGTGAAAGTCAAGGTTTCAGGGACAGCTCAGTGACTAGGATCTGGGCCTTGCCTGTGGCTGGTGACTCCAGCAAGGCTCAGACACGGTCCCCATGGACCTGGCTTTACTACCTGGAGACTGTCAGTAGACTCAACCAGTGGGGAGAGCAAAGGGCTTGGGATGGAGGGAGGTAGATGGGAGATTGGTTCACCATCTCCTTTTCCCAGCTGAGCAAATCAGTTGCCTCTTTAGTTATTGTCCCATGGACCTGCATATGGTGCTGTGTGCGACGCAGGGTGCCAAAGGGAGCGCTTTGAATGCTGTCAGACAGCAAAGCAGCTTTTCTGCAGAAATAGCTAAGTCCTGAAATATCCCAGCAGCTGTGTTTATCCCAACGCTCCCGCTCGGAGAGATGCTCGGCTGTGACGTGGGCCGTTAGTACAAACACCACTCGCACTGCCCGGACCGGAGCCACCAAGGGCGTTGCTCACTTAGAGACATTAATACAAACCAGCGCTGTCCTGGCATGCAGCGGATGGGCTTGGTAAATAAAAACAGCCTCGGCTCATCCCTGCACTCAGATGAGGAGTGGGGCTCTCTGTGAGCAGAGGGGTTTACAGTTGTCCCCGTTTCCCCTTCCAGGGATGCTTTCACCCCAGATATGTCCTCCAGCAGCTGAGAAATCCTCTGTTCTATCAGGATTGTGCTGGGCTGGGAGAATGAGGAAGCCCAGGGATCATAGAATCATAGACTCAGGGAATGGTTTGGGTTGGAAGGGACCTTAAAGCTCATCCAGTTCCAACCCCCCCCCCCACCCCCCTGCCACGGGCGGTGACCCCTTCCACTAGAGCAGGTTGCTCCAAGCCCCTGTGTCCAACCTGGCCTTGAACACTGCAAGGGATGGGGCAGCCACAGCTGCTCTGGGCACCCTGTGCCAGCACCTCAGCACCCTCACAGGGGAGAACTTCTTCCTTATATCTAACCTGAAATTCCCCTGTTTCAGTTTAAACCCGTTACCCCTGGGGACTTCTGGAAATGTAGAGATATTCCCTACAGCCCTACGACTTCCTCTCGTTGTGGGCTGGCATTTTTTTGTCAGTGCTGAAGGAAAGGTGCATGTTTGTAATTGCAGCACCCGTGACCATTAGAGGAGTTGATTCAGCAGGGAGAGAATTGAGCTTTCCTAAGCGGGGAGAAGAGAAAGCAGACACTGCTTGCTGCAAACTTGGCCTCCCAAGAGCATCCCTGTGCTTTGGGCATGGCACAGGGCTGGGGACCCGCTGGCACCTCTCCCAAGCCCCACTGCCAGACTGGGCACCAGCCTGTGCTTGGCATCTGCTCTCTGGAGTGCCCAGAGCCATGCTGACACAGAGGAGCTTCCCAGCCCTGGGACAGGGACACCCCCAGTTCCAAAGGCAAGGCAAGAGCCAGCAGGGTGGCAGAGGGGAATGCTGTGAGCGGAAGGCAGCACTGAGCAACAGGATGCAGCAGCTGGGTGGATGCTAATTTGGAGGAAGCCCACAGGGTAGACGCTCAGCTGCGGGAGGGCTCGGTGGGCTGAATGTGGGCTGGAACAATCCTCTGCTGCAGCTGTGTCTGCCATGGTATGTGTTTGGAGAGCCCCACGTTATCACTTTCCCAAATCCCCTGAGCTCTGATGGGAGCAATGCGCCAGTGCTGCAGGCCACAGCTGGGGCACATGCTCTGCCTAATGCACTGGGTGGCACTGGTACCTTTAGCAGGGAGATCATCCCCCAGCAAGCCTTGAAGCTCCTGCTATTGCCAAGCAAATGAGGACTGAACTGGACATGCTTATTTCCCTCGTGCAACATGATTTCTCCCAGGACGCTGCTGGTTTGCTCTAGGACCCAGGGAGGGAGCTGATGGGAGGGCTGAGAGAGGTGCTAGGGACTGTGTGAAGGGCTTGTCCTCCCTTTCCCATGCTGGGGCATGTGTTGGGGTTGGGCACAGGGGTGTGCAGTGAGGTACAGGGCTGTCACATGGGACATTCAGGGTATGCCCAGGGAGAGGAGAGCCAAAGTAAGGAGCTAAAGCCCAGCTGGGAGCCCTGACTCACTTCCCAGCCATTTGGGTGCAAAAGGACCGATCCTCACTCCTGTGAGTGCCTCTGCCCAGGAGCACTGGCATGGGATGAGCTTGGTCAGACCATTTCGGGGAGGTCTAGACACTGCACTGCTGTCACTGCCCGAGGAGTGGTGCATATCTGGAGCCTCCCCCGGGGGCCTGGGGGGAAAACCAGAGGGCTTAGACGATGGTCCTGTCCCACGGAGCTGAGAACAGTTGGGAGGAGAGAGGCGGAAGAGGTTTTGTGTTGCTCTGGATCAACCATTCCACTTCTATCCCCACCCAAACCCTTCCGTACCACCCTTTTGCATCCATGGGGGCTTTTGCACATCTCATGGCACTTTGGGCTTGAAATACAGCCACAGGCAGGTGCATCCCCCCCTCTGTGGATCAGCTCCCAGTGAGGGCTGAGAGCTGGGACACAGCAGCCCTCCTTGCTCACAGCTCTGCCTCACTTGCTCTCTTTGCAGGCGAAGAAAGGCCAGGAGGTTGAGAAGGGCCCCGAGGTGGAAACTGCAAAGCTGGAGAAGCTGCTTAACCTGGTGAGAGAGCCGGCGAATAAGGCAGA